TCTCTGCCACTCTGCAACCCCCACCCCCCGCCCTTGTAATTGAAAACGCAAATAACTGTTTGTAGAAAAAGTTAAACATACGAGGAACTGAAGTGAGTCAACCCGCACCCCTCCTCCCAAATAGGTATTTTTAACGGTTGGAAAATAAGTTATGTATTTTTTTTTTTTACTAAAGCGTTTCTTACACAATAAAATTCCAGTCGGCTTCCTTAACTTTATTTATTTATTTTTTTTTCTGGACCATGCTCTTTGTTAAAGGATAGTCTCTTTAATCTACTACATATCCAAATTACATTGTATAGAAAAGAATTAAGAATTATTATTTGATTTATATATATATATGTTAGAGGAGCGTGCTTAAGCAGACAGAATGGTGTCTGCAGGGGGTTCCTTTAGAGAAAACTGTAAAAAATGAAAACAATAAAAAGCTTATGAATTCCACTCATGAAAAACTGTTACAAGTAGATAAACGAACTTAAAAAAGTTTACAATAGATAACCACGGCAATAAGTTAGCAGCATACAATTAAGTTGAAAATTGTTCCACAAAACTATGTCAACCGGAAGTTGAGTGGATTTGGTCTGGACATTGAGGCTCTGGATGATTACTAGGCAATATGAGAGTCAATGACTGTTTGTTATTTGATTTATAACTGGAAGACTACTCTTGTGGCAACCTCAAAGACCACCTTTAGTGATCTAGAATTTCATATCTGGGCAAAAATGGTGCGCAGTGTACAGCTAGAAATTGGTTTTCGGACAAGAAGGTCATTTTTGATAGTGATCATACCAAGACATTTGTCAATCCCAGTTTTGGAAATAATGGCATATTATATAAACTAGTACCGATCCGGCATATGTTTAATTCACAAATAAGAATTAACAAGTGGTGCGTTAGCAATTTTGTCTAGTGTAGATATAAAAAAAAAACACAGTGTGTGTTCTGAGAAGCACTGGCTTACAATGATCCAACACGTACCTTACCGAATACCGCCTTCTCATTGGCCTTCCTTTGGTCACGCCTACCATAAACAGGCATTTCCAATAAACTACGTTCATATTATACAATATTTTCTTCCCGCTATTCTACAAAACGCGGGAAAACATCATTACATGAAAGAATTTTTTGGCTGAATGTGTGCAGATTATGATGATTTTTGCCAAAGCACAAGTTTATGTCACAATTATAACATCATAGTACTCGGTTTTCTTAAGTTTATCTATTTATGTAATACAGTAATTGGAAACAGTGAAAAATAATTGAGACAAATTCTTGGACTAATCCTAAAACTTGCATATTCTGGGGTCCGATTTTTGTCCTTGAAGGTTTTACAAAAATCCCAATAGAATTGGACATAAAAATATCTAATTTTGAAAGATTACTGTAAAAGTAATGCATGAAATCCATAATCTTGTTTTATAGTACATGTGTATATGATAAAGAATTCACTTCATCAAAACACCTACTGCAACCTTTTAGGTCACCTGGTGACCCACGTTTTTGTCTGTCATAGTTTGAACATTTCACATTATACACTGTGGAACCAATTCAAACTGATTTTGGCTTTATTTCAAATAGATCTTTGACAATTTAGTATAAAACTCAGGTGACTGGTAAGGCCCCTGTGCCTTTTGAAGGTCACATACCGTAAACTCAACACTAGTTACTTTATAAGTATATTAAAACAAAAGTACAAAAGACTCTCTGTAAAATTATCCATTTGGCTTCTTTTGTGATGCTGAAACAAAGAAGATAAAAATCATTTTATTTAAGCATTACTGCACATCATTTCACTCATTATATAGATCTATATATGACAAAATCATGATACGTACTACAGGAATATTTGCAGTGCATTTGCAACAATGGAATGCTGCATGAATAAGTGAGAAGTGTTCGCTTGCAGTCAACAGGGTCCCTTGGATCATAATAAGAAACAGCTCCTGTTGGAAGAACATGTGGGGTTGTCTTTGTAGCAGTGGATGTTGATATGTTGTTGATGGTTGTTGGGCCTGCTGTTGATTTGCTATGAACCTTTGGTTTTAATGTTGAAGTGGTTGTTGATAGTGTAACAATGGGGCTTGATGAGCTGGATAATCCTATAACAATTACCGAGAAAAATGATATAAGGACAGACGTAATGTAGTTTGAACTTTATTATCTAATCTTCCCTGGTGTGGACGAGTTCCACTAAATAAAAGACCCAATCTAATGAAAAAGTTTTATATCTTAAAATAAATCTTTTCTTCTCCTCTGCATTAAGCAAACTAAACACACATTAACTTGTGAAGAGCAAGGGTGGTTTTCCAAATTGTGATTTTAATCATGTCCCCTTGATCAGTGGTTGTTGAGTTTAAATGGAGGCTTTTCTGAGGTTTTTAAAATCTCCTTTAGGTTTCATGGTAAATTTGATCACATGCCAACCTGTATTTACATATAATTTTTTTTTTAAAATACTTTATTACTTATTACCAATAAAGTGACTTTTCCCATACTTCAGTGGCATAAATAGTTAAATACAATGTGTTGAACTCTTCTACCCCTTTGAAATTAAATCAATCATCATGATTTCAGGATATGGTTATTTATGTGATGATTCTGTTTTTGTACAGAACTGAAGGTTATATACTCCTTACTTAGATAGTACTGTATAGGGGAAATATTTGAAAATGTAAATGTTTAAAATATTACAATATTGGTACCTGCTGATTGAGTAGAACTTCTGATAGTTGTGAGAGCTGCCATTGTTGCTGACATAGTTGTTGGTGTGGAAGGTGGTGTACCACTGGCTGACCCTGTGTTAAATTGTATATCAAACTGCTCATTTCATACGTATAACAGAAAAAAAAGATGACTTTGATGTGTAAAACATTGGATGTTTTTTCTTAAAATTGCAAATAATATGATTAATCATATAAATTATTTTAACAATCCCCCTCAAAAAAAAAGAAACCTGTGTACAAATTTCAGAAAGAATTGTTAGCAAGTATGAAGCATTTTCAAAACTGCATCAAGGTTGACCTTGTTCTTACCACAGGAATGGGGACAGTGCATAAGAATGCTTGGTTGAGAACAACCTGAGGAAACAAGTTGCTTGCAATCAGGAGGATCCAGTGGATTATAAAGGGATATAGATGTTGGCTGACTGTTGGCTGATACTGTAGTTTGATTTGAGATCCCACTTGTTGAAGTGGAAACATTTGTCTGACCACTGTTGGTTACAGTTGTACCTGAAGATAACCCTGTTTGACCAGTATTGGTTGAAGAAGTAAGCTGCGAAGCTGTAGTTGATCCTGTTATTTGAACTGATGTTCCTGAAGTTAAAGCAGTTTTTGTTACTGAAGCGCCTGTTGTTTGTCCTTTCGGTAGGATTGTTGTTTTTTGTCCCATGGTTTGTGCTGATGTTTTTGTTGGGGATGAAGTAGTAGTAGCTTGGGCTGTTGTGGCTGAAGGAGTTGTTGACTGAACTGTTGCAACAGATGGTGTAGTTTTTTGTGCCCTTGTTGATAAATTGCTTGATATACTTGATGCTGTGACTGAAGATACTGTTATTTGTTGTGTTTGGACTGAAGATCTTGCAGACTGTGCTGTTGTGGATGAAGTACCTTTAGGTTTTGATGTAACTGAAGATCCTCCTGTTGCTTGTGTTGTTGTGTTTAAAGAACTTGTGGTTTGTCCTGTTCTGTTAGAAAGTAATGCCTGTGAAGTTGTGGATGAGGAGCCAATTGAATTAACTGTTGTGATTGAAGATCCTGTTGTTTGGATTGATGATCCTGTAGCTTGACCTGTTGTGAGAGAAGATGTAGAAGTCTGTGTTGTGGCTGATGAGCTTGAGAGTTGTCCTTTTGTGATTGAAGATACTGTTGTTGTTGTTGGTGCTGTTGTGACCGAAGAACCTGTACTTTTTCCTGTTATGAGAGAGTTTGCAGTTGTCTGTGCTGCTGAAGTGCTTGTGGTTTGTGGTGTTGTGACGGAAGATCCTGTTGATTTTGCGGAGGCCTGTCCCATTGGGACAGAGGTGGCAGTTGTTTGTGTTGTTGTCGATATAGTTCCTGTTGATTTTGATGTGACTGAAGATCCTGTTGTTTGTCCTATTGTGACTAAAGACACTGTGGCTTGTCCTGTTGTGATTGAAGATCCTTTAATTTGTCCTGTTGTTACAGATGGCATAGTTGTTCTTGATGTTTTGGTTGAAGAAACTGTCAAATTTCCTGTTGTGTTAAAAGATCCTGTTGTTTGTGTTGCTTGGATTGATGAACCTTGTGATTTTCCTATTGTGTTGGAGGATGTAGCTGTCTGTGTTTTGCTTGAGGAATTTGATATTTGTCCTAATGTTGAAGATACTGAGATTTGTGATATTGTGACTGAAGATCCTACTGTTTGTCCAGTTGTGCTAGAAGATCCTGTCGTACCTGAGGACCCTGTGGTTTGTCCTGCTGTAATGGAAGGTGTAGTCATCTGTGATGGTGAGGATGAGGCGCCAGTAGAATTTACTATTGCTTTAGAAGATCCTATGGTATGTGCTGTTGTGATTGAAGATATAGTATTCTGTCTTGTTGTGACAGTCACAGATGAATTAGTAATTGTCTGTTGTGTTGCTGATAAGCTTGATAGCTGTCCTGTTGCTACTGAAGATGCTGCTGATGTTGCTGCTGTGACTGAAGGCCCTTTGGAATGTGTTGTTATGATAGGTGAAGTTGTGGCTGTAGTCTGTGACATTGTGGCTGAAGAGCCTGATGTTTGACCAGTTGTTGTAGAGGCTGCAGATGTCTGTGCTGCTGTGGATGAAGTGCCTGTAGATTTCAATGTTGTGGCTGAAGATCCTGCTGTCTGTCTTGTTGTCACTGAGGATGTAGGTGTCTGCAATGTTTTGGCTGAGGAGCCTGAGGTTTTCAACGTTGTTACAGAGAGTGTATTTGTCTGTGCAATTGTAGATGATGTTCCTGTAGATTTTGACAAAGCTGAAGATCCTTTTGTTTGTCCTGTTGTGATTGAAGATCTTGCTGTACTTGAGGACCCTGTGGATTGTACTGTTGTTATAGAAGGTGTAGTTATTTGTGATGACGAGGATAAGATGCCAGTTGAATTTACTGTTGATATAGAAGCTCCTATGGTACGTGCTGTTGTGATTGAGGTACCAGTATTTTGACTTGTTGTGACAGTCACAGATGAAGAAGTAGGTGTCTGTTTTGTGATTGATAAGCTTGAACTTTGTCCTGTTGTTACTGAGGATGCTGATGATGTTGCTGTTGTGACTGAAGGCCCTTTGGAATTTAATGATGTGGCAGACATAGTTGTCTGTGATATTGTGGATGAACCACCTGTAGATTTAGATGTTGTGATTGAATTCCCTAGTGTTTGTGCTGATGGGATGGTGGATCCTGTGGTTTGTACAGTTGAAATAAGGTTTGCAGATGTTTGTGCTGCATTTGGCAACATGGTTGCAGTTTGTGCAATTGCGGCTGAACAGCCTGATGTTTGACCACTTGTTATAGGGGCTGCAGATGTTTGTGCTGCTGTGGATGAAATGTTTGTATTTTTTGCTGTTGTGACTGAGGATCCTGTGGTTTGTGCTGTTGTGACTAGTGGTGTAGATGTGCTTGTAGTCTGTGACATTGTGGCTGAAGAGCCTGATGTTTGACCAGTTGTTGTAGAGGCTGTAGATGTCTGTGTTGCTGTGGATGAAGTGCCTGTATTTTTTGCTGTTGTGACTGAGGATCCTGTGGTTTGTGCTGTTGTGACAAGTGGTGTAGATGTGCTTGTAGTCCGTGACATTGTGGCTGAAGAGCCTGATGTTTGACCAGTTGTTGTAGAGGCTGTAGATGTCTGTGCTGCTGTGGATGAAGTGCCTTTATTTTTTGCTGTTGTGACTGAGGGTCCTGTTGTTTGTCCTGTAACTGAGGATGTAGATGTCTGTATTGTTTTGGCTGAAGAGCCTGGGTATTTCCCTGTTGTGGCGGAAAATGTTGTTGTCTGTGCTGTTGTTGTAGAGACTATTCCTGTAGGGTTTGATGAGACTGCAGATACTGTTGTTCCAGCAGTTGTGACTGAAGATACTGGAGATTGTCCAGTTGTGATAGAAGATCCTGCTGAACTTGAGGAACCTGTTGTTTGTACTGTTGTAACAGAGGGTGTAGTTATTGGTGATGGTGAGGATGAGGTACCAGTAGAATTTACTGTTGTCTTGGATGATCCTATGGTATGTGCTGTTGTGATTGATGAACCAGTATTTTGACCTGTTGTGAGAGTCACAGATGAAGAAGTAGGAATCTGTTTTGTGATTGATAAGCTTGAACTTTGTCCCATTGTTACTGAAGATGCTGATGCTGTTGTGACTGATGGCCCTTTTGAATGTGTTATTGTGGCAGGTGTAGTTGTCTGTGATGTTATGGATGACCCTACTGTAGATTTAGATGTTGTGATTGAATTCCCTGATGTTTGTGCTGTTTGGATGGAGGATCCTGAGGTTTGTGCAGTTGTGACAAGGGTTGCAGATGTTTGTGCTGTCATAGATGAAGAGGTAGTCTGTGCTGCTGTGACTGAAGAGCCTGATATTTGACCTGTTGTTATAGAAGATGCATTTGGTTGTGCTGCTGTGGATAAAGTGCTTGTAGATTTCAATGATGTGACTGAATATCCTGTTGTTTGGACTGATGATCCTGTGGTTCTTCCTTTTGTAATTGATGATGTGGCTGACGGTCCTGATGATTGTACTGTTGTGACAGACAAGGAAGATGCTATTGTAGATGATGTGCCTGTAGGTTTTGATGTGGCTGAAGATCCTGTTGTATGTGTATTTGTTACTGAGGATCCTGTAGTTTGTCCTGTTGTGACAAAAGGTGTGGTTGTCTGTGCTGTATTTACTGAAGAACTTATGATTTGTCCAGTCATAACGAGAGGTGTTGATGTTTGAGCTGTTGTCACTGAAAACCATATGGTTTTTCCTGTTGTGATGTTAGGTGTATTTGTCTGTGATACTGAGGATAATGTTCCACTGGAGCTTCCTGCTGTTTGTGCTGTGTGTACTGAAGATCCTGTTGTTTGTGATGGTGTAACAGAGTTTGCTGTTGTATGTGCTGTTGTGGATAAATTTGTTGTAGATTGGCTTGTACCTGAAGAACCTGATGATTGTGCTGTTTGGTTTGCTGATAATCCTATGGTTTTTCCTGGTGATGTAACAGAGAATGTAGATGATTGAGATATTGGAGCTGATGAACTTGAGTTTTTTCCTGGTGTGACAGATGATTGGGATGTTTGTGCTGTTGTGACTGATGTCCCTGTAGTTTGTCCTGTGACAGAAGCTGTACTTGTTTGAGATGTTGTGGATGAAGTAGCTGGTTTAATGGTAGTGACCGAAGGTCCATGGGATGGGGATGTCTGTATTATTGGGCCTGATGAGCTTTGTCCTGTTGTGGATGAAAATACTGATGTTTGTGCTGTTGTGGCTGAAGAGCCTGAGATTTGTCCTGTTGTGATAGTTGGTGAATTTGTCTGTGCTGCTGTGGATGACTTGCCTGTTGTATTCATTGTTGAAGCTGAGGGGCTTGAAATATATCCTGTAGAGACTAAAACTCCAGTGGATTGGGCTGCTGTGATTGAAGTGCCTGTGGTTTGTCCTGTTGTGAAAAGGGTTGCGGCTGGTTGTGCTGTTGACGATGAAATGCCTGTTGGATTTACTGTCGAGGCGGAAGAGCCAAGATTATATCCTGTTGTTTGAGAGGTCGTGACTGAAGTTCCTGTAGTTTTTCCCATTGTAATAGAGGTTGCAGTTAATGTTCCTGTTGATACTGAAAACCCTGTTGTTTGTGTTTTCGTGCTGGAAGATCCTGTGGATTGTCCTGATGTGACAGAAGGTGCAGTTGTCTGTGCTCCAGATGATACAACAATTGTTGAGGATCCAGGGGTTGTATTTGAAGGCACAGAGGTAAGTCCAGTTGTGTTGGAGGATGGAGATATTACAACTGTGGATGCTGTTGACTGTGAAGTTGATGATTGGTAGGTTGTGTTTCCTGAGGAGGAGCTAGTTGTGAATGTTGTTGATTGTGTAGAAAGAGGCAAGGGGAGTGTTGTTTGTTGTGTACTTGCACAGCCAATCAAATCAAATCGCATTGCTATATGATGACTCCATTCCAAAGGATGTAGCTTTATATATTTTGCTTGTATTGGAGTTTGTAAGGTGTTGATCTCAGGTGTATTTTCGTCAGAATTACCCTTGAAAACCTGAAATTTGAGTAATTTCTCATAAGTTTTCAAACAATATTTAAGCATTTACAAATTTTATTTTGCATCAAATATCTTGTGCTTACATGCGCTGTCTGTGAACCATATTTGCTCCAGTGTTTTCCATCTATACTGTACATTACAGAGTACTTTGTTACCCACTGTTTGCAGCAACCATCTCGTCCTTTCGTCACAATGGCCTTGATTGTGCTTATATTATTCAACTCGACCTAGAATACAATTTCTGTGTTTCTGAACTAGAAATGATCTGGTCATATGTCCAGAATGATAAGTTGATATAACCCATTTATCACACGTTTTTCGTAAAAATTGATGTGTTTTATATTTTCTTGTGTAATTTGATAAACATTACGAAATATAATTGGATTAATCTGACATTTAATATACATGCCAAAACTAGTACATAAAAGGTGAAGCAGCCATCCTCCTTTTATTTCAAAGAAACGGTACACTTATTTTTTGAAAATTAAATCCGTACATACAATTACCTGTATATATTGGTTTTTGTCTAGAACCTTTGCGACCCAGGCTCCCATTTGAGTGACCCCGTGCGGTGTTTTGACCTCTGTGTTGTTGATCCGGGCCCTGGGGGCACTGTAGTCGTGTTTGGAGTCGGCTGCTCCGTACTCACTAGTAGCATTGATGTGATTGTCCGGTACAGGACTGGACCCAGAAACAAGGTACTCGTCACATTGAGCTTAAAAAAAAGGGGAACTTTTTTGTTTTTGTTTTTTACGGTATTTTTCTGTTTGTGTGTAAGTATATAATTTTGTTGTTGTTGTTGTTTTGTATTTCTTTTTGAGATTCAAGTAGACTTGTTTACAGTAATTAGATTAATATGAATTATGTAAAGTGTCTGAAACAAGTCACATGTACAAAACAATTCCCACATGTTTACCACTCAAATATTATATAATACAGATAAAATCGTTAATCTTATGAAGAGATGATAATCACTTTACAAATATTTTCTCCGTGTATTAATCGGAATTTATTTAATTGAAATGTAATGACGTCATCCTGTGATGCATTCACATGTTCTTCCACCTGTATGAAAATACGTCTTGAAAGCCAATATATAGCACTGATATTTTTATAGGATCAAACCATAGGTGTAGTCGAACAACAGACAATATACTTACGTGTATTAGGTAGGCGAATGCCCTGGCTCGGTACTTTGGTTGATATTAGATTGGTTGTTCCACTCACTGAAGACGTTGATAGGGGAACAGACGAAAAAGTATTTCCTAAAAAGAAATTAAAGAGAGAGAGAGTCCAGCAAGCAGATGTCATTCAAATTAAGAATAAACACAAATTTTTGATTTCGGATTGGGTGTCCTTTGCAGCACAATTATACCTGTTTGATTAGAAGAAGTCGTGCTTCCACTAGTTATAGCTATCGTCTGGTTTGCATTTGTTGTTGTAGCACTGGTCGTCAATGCTGATGTATTTGCTGGTGAATGGAATATAATGAATGTCTTTTAAAATCTTTTTTTAATATTATAAAAAGTAGATAAAATACATAACATTAACTGAATTGCATTGGGTTTGTATGAAGAAAGTACCACAGGAGTGTTTGCAGTGCTGACGGATTATCGGCACGCTGCAGTTGAAGGCCAGCAGTGACCGTTTGCAGTCCTTTGGGTCTAGGGGGCTGTAATTTGGCGCTACCCCTGTGGGAAGTTTATATGGAGTGACGGGTAGGGTTGTGGTTGTACTCTTTCCAGTGGAAGTGTCTATTGAATGATAAATTCAACAATAAAGAGATATGGAAAAATGTTCTCTTTAGCAACCTAGCTATAGGTCTTTTCAGATTTGCTCAGTATGATGATAACAGTCAACATGTGAACGAACATGAGAATTATTTCATAAGCAGGGGCAAATTATGTTTGATGATAATTCTTACGCAAGTGCAGGCTAATTTTCCCGCAAGTCTGGTCACTAGAATCCTCAATCACATTAGTATTAATACTGAAGACGCGGGATTTCCCCGATGTATTTGCTGTTTACAAGCACGTAGCATCGTGGGGGCGGGAGTCTTTTCTTTACACATAACATTTTTTTTTTACTTTATTCAAGCTTAGTCAAATAAGGGTAATGTAGAAGTGTGTGAATAAAATTTGTAACTGAAAGGAGTTGGAAACCACCAATCCTCAACCCCCTCCCCCTTTCAATAAAATATGATTTTCGAGTTTTTACAGTTTTCACCTTTTTTGATACTTGCATTATACATCTATCTACATTTTTGAGAAAAGTATTTTTGCGCACTTTATTTGTCGAAAAGTTGGAGAAACATGTTAACCCCTCCCAACAAATATGTTTTATATCTTTCAATTTTTTTTTTATTTTGTCTGATAAGGTTTTCCTCAATCTTTTGGGGATACAGTCCCTTCTCATTGATAAAAGATGCTACGCTCCTCAAATTGCAATTCACTAATTCACAAAGGCTAATTTGAGCTTAAATTAGATGAATTTTACTATATACCATGTTATCTGACGTAAAGGTACAAAAGTATATTTCACGTACCAAAAAATGTGATCACATCTGCTGTTATGAAAGTATAACCCTTGTGTGGTAATTATCAGCAAATGGACAGCGATTAAAATGCTGAGAAAAACACATACCGGTACATGTATATCTCTATATCAAATCAAAAGAGAAGATGTGTTATCTGAAAAAGCCGCTCACTTGAAGAGGAGCTAGGTGTTTTGATGGGACATCCCAAAAATTCAAGTCTCATCGCAATATGGTGATTCCAGGTTTTAGGTAGAAGTCGAACACATCTTGCCCATATTGGACATGGCAAGTGATTTGTAACTTTGCTGTCTTCGTCGATATTACCTTGAAAAACCTTTCAAAATAATATAAAAAACGTTTTAAGGAGGCTGGTGGGTCAACAAATTAATCCCAAATTAGCCACCAGATTTAACTTAACTTTTTAGATACGGTATCTTTAGCTGTCAACTATCATTTGACGAAGAAAAAATGCATACATTTTAGTTTTAAAATTTGATCATTTTGTATATCTTTATATGGAGCTCTCCTTTTAAAGGAGATTGAAATAGTCTATAAATGGCTGCCACCCCCAGCCTCTTTAAATCAGTCATTCTACAAATAAACGTGTAAAACCATGTACTAAATAACAATACTTTATGTCACGAACAAATTCACTATCAAAAATTATTGTCTTTAATTCGAAGATCGATTTCATATTTATGCACTCATTGTTGTTGTTTTGCATTTATATTGATTGATTGTACGTTGTTTAACGTCCCTCTCGAGAGTTCACTCATATGGAGACGCCAGCACTTACCGGTGGAGAGCTACAAATGTTGTCCTATACTCGGCACTTAGGGCCATTAAGCAATGAGGGATCTTTTTCGTGCCAGCACTACTGCGACACGGAACCTCAGTTTATACGGTCTCATCCGAAGGACCGGTCTGCACGCCCCACAGTGTGATTCGAACCCGTGACGTAAGGATCGACTCCTAAATTCCACTCTAGAGCAGACGCTCTAACCACTGCGCCACGCGGGCGACTTTCGCATTTATAACCACGAATACAGTTTGATTTTTAATAAATATAAAAATATAAATATAATTCAATGTTTAAAAACGTATTCAACTGCAAATCTTCATGTCTTCGTTGTCTCTCATAGACAAATTTTAACATTTTCACCTTCTTCTATAGCCAGTGGTTTCTGATCTGCTACTTGCCTCGCAATCCCAAGTCAGTAGAGGAACGGAACAGAAACCCTTTGATAGCGAAGAGATGAATTTTCACTTGCATCCGCGTTTCGAGTTAAATACATGGGATATAGAGGAAAGGTTTCATTTTTATATGAAAGGAAAACAATTCTTAAGCACACAAGATGTATAAATTAATTTCCGCCACGTTTTTTTTTCTTTTAAACTGCACATAGTCCAATCTCACAATGGACTGGGTCTTTAATGTGTTCAAAAAAATGGAACCTAAAATGGTAAATTTACTAGGCAGATCATGATTACTATTTTTTATTTAACCTTAAAAAAATTCAACTACCAGAATCTGCAATCCAGGAATTTTGTTACTACATTTGCGTAGCTTAAAATAAACATTTTCTTTATCAGTTGCTGAATATTCTTATCTAAAAGTGCTGAAAATAAACTTCCGTAACATCCATAATGTTTTCCCCCCTCAATATTCCAGATTCGTGTCAGATTTAAAAAAAACATGTTTAATCGTTCTTTGCGAATTATATTAGCCATTTTCACGTTCATTTCCATAAAACCTGTTTAATCATTTTCTTCTGCCTTGCTGCACTGCCTTTAATATCGCTGATTTTTTTTTTAATATTAACGATACGAGATTTTTCAAAGTGGATATTTTTTTAACGCACTGTCTTTTTTTTACTGCTGTCTTTTACAGAAATTGTTGCTTATAATTGGCTACTTGAGACAACTATTTTTTCCCTCCACGTTAAATAACATGTGGATTGATCGTCTACGCAGAATGACCGAAATATCCCATTTTCGAATCTTACCGTTGCATTATTCCCTCCCACTGTTTTCCACTGCTTGCAGTCGTAACTGTACTGTACTGTGTAAGTCGTTACCCACTGTTTGCAACACCCATGACGCCCTTGAGTAATGACATCACGTATTAAATGGGGTCTTGAAAAGGTAGCCTAAAAGAGAATGAAAATATAAATTGGGAACTTTTGAATCCGAACATATTTGAGATCGTGTACAAATGTATTTAAAAACAAAGATGAAATCCAGAAGAAATTGCAGAGGAAAAATAAACCAAAGGTTTTTGAACCTATGCAAATTTATTTTAAACCCAGGTACATGTATATAGGTTTATCGTTACATTTACTATTTATAAGATGATATTAAGTTGAATTTGGTTTATTCTTGCAAAAACGTTTGAAAGTTATTTCTGAAGGATATTCTCCCCTCATTTAAGAACGGCAACAATTAAAATTATTTTTTTTTAACTGTATAATATATAATATGAATCCCTTGAAGCATCCAAGTTCTTTTTCAGTAAAACTGCGGGCATTATAAACTTTACCTATTTCAGTCTGTCTGTTCCTCTAGTTTTCTATCTCCCAAATGGATTATTTGTTTGAATTTATAATCTAATCCTCCAAATTTCAAAATCATACCTGGATGTACTGGTCGTGGTTATTTATGGTCGTCATACCTGGATGTACTGGGTATAGTTATTTATGGTCGTCATACCTGGATGTACTGGTTGTAGTTATTTATGGTCGTCAAACCTGGATGTACTGGGTATAGTTATTTATAGTCGTCATACCTGGATGTACTGGGTATAGTTATTTATGGCCGTCATACCTGGATGTACTGGGTATAGTTATTTATAGTCGTCATACCTGGATGTATTGGGTATAGTTATTTATGGTCGTCATACCTGGATGTACTGGGTATAGTTATTTACAGTCGTCATACCTGGATGTACTGGGTATAGTTATTTATGGCCGTCATACCTGGATGTACTGGGTATAGTTATTTATAGTCGTCATACATGGATGTACTGGGTATAGTTATTTATGGCCGTCATACCTGGATGTACTGGGTATAGTTATTTATGGTCGTCATACCTGGATGTACTGGTTATAGTTATTTATAGTCGTCATACCTGGATGTACTGGGTATAGTTATTTATGGTCGTCATACCTGGATGTACTGGGTATAGTTATTTATGGTCGTCATACCTGGATGTACTGGGTATAGTTATTTATGGTCGTCATACCTGGATGTACTGGGTATAGTTATTTATAACCGTCATACCTGGATGTACTGGGTATAGTTTTTTATAGTCGTCATACCTGGATGTACTGGGTATAGTTATTTATGGTCGTCATACCTGGATGTATCGGGTATAGTTATTTATGGTCATCATACCTGGATGTACTGGGTATAGTTATTTATGGTCGTCATACCTGGATGTACTGGTTGTAGTTATTTATAGCCGTCATACCTGGATGTACTGGGTATAGTTATTTATGGTCGTCATACCTGGATGTACTGGTTGTAGTTATTTATAGTCGTCATACCTGGATGTACTGGGTATAGTTATTTATAGTCGTCATACCTGGATGTACTGGGTATAGTTATTTATGGTCGTCATACCTGGATGTACTGGGTCTAGTTATTTATAGTCGCCATACCTGGATGTACTGGGTTTAGTTATTTATAGTCGCCATACCTGGATGTACTGGGTATAGTTATTTATAGTCGTCATACCTGGATGTACTGGGTATAGTTATTTATGGTCGTCATACCTGGATGTACTGGGTATAGTTATTTATAGCCGTCATACCTGGATGTACTGGGTATAGTTATTTATAGCCGTCATACCTGAATGTACTGGGTATAGTTATTTATAGCCGTCATACCTGGATGTACTGGGTATAGTTATTTATGGCCGTCATACCTGAATGTACTGGGTATAGTTATTTATGGTCATCATACCTGGATGTACTGGGTATAGTTATTTATGGTCGTCATACCTGGATGTACTGGTTGTAGTTATTTATAGTCGTCATACCTGGATGTACTGGGTATAGTTATTTATGGTCATAGGATGTCATACCTGGATGTACTGGGTATAGTTATTTGTGGCCGTCATACCTGGATGTACTTGGTATAGTTATTTATGGTCGTCAAACCTGGATGTATTGGGTATAGTTATTTATAGCCGTCATACCTGGATGTACTGGGTATAGTTATTTATAGCCGTCATACCTGGATGTATTGGGTATAGTTATTTATAGTCGTCATACCTGGATGTACTGGTCGTGGTTATTTATGGTCGTCATACCTGGATGTACTGGGTATAGTTATTTATGGTCGTCATACCTGGATGTACTGGGTATAGTTATTTATGGCCGTCATACCTGGATGTACTGGGTATAGTTATTTATAGTCGTCATACCTGGATGTACTGGTTGTAGTTATTTATGGTCGTCATACCTGGATGTACTGGGTATAGTTATTTATGGTCGTCATACCTGGATGTACTGGTTGTAGTTATTTATGGTCGCAGGGTTTAAACTTAACGCTCGCCCACTCGCAAATTGCGAGTAAAAATTGGTGTGGGCTCATAAAATTTGTAAGTTGCTCGCCCACGTGGCGAATAAAAATTCTACAGGGGGCCGAATTCATTCCCATTCCCCTTACTGAAAAACAGACATTTTACGCAGGTTTTTTATTTAAAACAACAGAGAAATGAAATAAATCACAGCAGTATGGTCCTATTGTTCGTAAATATCCCTCATCTTTTCCATTTAAAGTACTACACGATTTGTGAAATTCCCTAAAACGATCGTCTTTTTTTCCTAATCCGAATTTCCTCCAATCCTCTGTAAATGGTTGAAACGTGATAGATATACAATTTAAATAACTCCCAACTACTCAGTCATATGAATAGTAAGTGTTTTCACCTATTTCAGTCATGTTGTAGTTAAAATATTTAACCTAGAAAATCTTATTGTGTCATTGTCAATTTATCATTTGAAGACATGTACCACTGTCCAGGGCTACGTATTTATATACATGTATTACCAAGTAAAAAAAAAAGATAGTAAAATGTTTATTGAATACAATTTTATTTCCGTTGATTAATATTTATATGACATCTGATTTTTATAGAGGTAAGAACTTCAATTTTAAACAGATGAATTTGTATATGTATTTCATTTGTATCTACTTTTTGTCCCAGTATCTATGCTTTTTAAAAAAACACAGAGACTGTGGGCTAACAAACTTAGCAGTGGGCTCCTAAATTTGAAATGTCAGGAGCCTACATGGCTCGTGGAAATTTCAGTTAAGTTTAAACCCTGTATGGTCGTCATACCTGGATGTATTGGGTATAGTTATTTATGGTCGTCATACCTGGATGTACTGGGTATAGTTATTTATAGCCGTCATACCTGGATGTACTGGTTGTAGTTATTTATGGTCGTCATACCTGGATGTACTGGTTGTAGTTATTTATAGTCGTCATACCTGGATGTACTGGTTGTAGTTATTTATGGTCGTCATACCTGGATGTACTGGGTATAGTTATTTATGGTCGTCATACCTGGATGTACTGGGTATAGTTATTTATGGTCATCATACCTGGATGTACTGGGTATAGTTATTTATGGTCGTCATACCTGGATGTACTGGTTGTAGTTATTTATAGTCGTCATACCTGGATGTACTGGGTATAGTTATTTATGGTCGTCATACCTGGATGTACTGGGTATAGTTATTTGTGGCCGTCATACCTGGATGTACTTGGTATAGTTATTTATGGTCGTCAAACCTGGATGTATTGGGTATAGTTATTTATAGCCGTCATACCTGGATGTACTGGGTATAGTTATTTATAGCCGTCATACCTGGATGTATTGGGTATAGTTATTTATAGTCGTCATACCTGGATGTACTGGTCGTGGTTATTTATGGTCGTCATACCTGGATGTACTGGGTATAGTTATTTATGGTCGTCATACCTGGATGTACTGGGTATAGTTATTTATGGCCGTCATACCTGGATGTACTGGGTATAGTTATTTATAGTCGTCATACCTGGATGTACTGGTTGTAGTTATTTATGGTCGTCATACCTGGATGTACTGGGTATAGTTATTTATGGTCGTCATACCTGGATGTACTGGTTGTAGTTATTTATGGTCGCAGGGTTTAAACTTAACGCTCGCCCACTCGCAAATTGCGAGTAAAAATTGGTGTGGGCTCATAAAATTTGTAAGTTGCTCGCCCACGTGGCGAATAAAAATTCTACAGGGGGCCGAATTCATTCCCATTCCCCTTACTGAAAAACAGACATTTTACGCAGGTTTTTTATTTAAAACAACAGAGAAATGAAATAAATCACAGCAGTATGGTCCTATTGTTCGTAAATATCCCTCATCTTTTCCATTTAAAGTACTACACGATTTGTGAAATTCCCTAAAACGATCGTCTTTTTTTCCTAATCCGAATTTCCTCCAATCCTCTGTAAATGGTTGAAACGTGATAGATATACAATTTAAATAACTCCCAACTACTCAGTCATATGAATAGTAAGTGTTTTCACCTATTTCAGTCATGTTGTAGTTAAAATATTTAACCTAGAAAATCTTATTGTGTCATTGTCAATTTATCATTTGAAGACATGTACCACTGTCCAGGGCTACGTATTTATATACATGTATTACCAAGTAAAAAAAAAAAGATAGTAAAATGTTTATTGAATACAATTTTATTTCCGTTGATTAATATTTATATGACATCTGATTTTTATAGAAGTAAGAACTTCAATTTTAAACAGATGAATTTGTATATGTATTTCATTTGTATCTACTTTTTGTCCCAGTATCTATGCTTTTTAAAAAAACACAGAGACTGTGGGCTAACAAACTTAGCAGTGGGCTCCTAAATTTGAAATGTCAGGAGCCTACATGGCTCGTGGAAATTTCAGTTAAGTTTAAACCCTGTATGGTCGTCATACCTGGATGTATTGGGTATAGTTATTTATGGTCGTCATACCTGGATGTACTGGATATAGTTATTTATAGCCGTCATACCTGGATGTACTGGTTGTAGTTATTTATGGTCGTCATACCTGGATGTACTGGTTGTAGTTATTTATAGTCGTCATACCTGGATG